AACAGGCTTCAGGCACTGAAACATGAATCAATGTCACGACCGACAAAAGGCTGAGCCACTCCCGCGCCCGCCGCGGCGCCGCGCTGCGCGATCCCCGGCGCGTCCGGAGGTGATAGTAACGTAATTAGAGAATGTGTTGAAGGTGTGAGAAAAAGTGACAGGTGAAGAAGTATCCTATTTACAGGGAATTCCTTGCTCTTGTCTTGTGCACAATAACCCAGACACACAAATATAAGGGCGTTGAACGTGCCAGTAAAAATCACTGCTATATGAACATCACACTCTGGCTTTTGAGGAATATGGCAGTTTTATCACACATATGCACTGCAGGCTCTACAATGTATGCAATGTCCATGCATATGTGATGCATATCCAAACCTCTAAAGGATGCCATTTAGACAGCTTCTATCCTGTTTAACTCAGTAATGCAACCTCAAGGTGTATGCACGGATGGCTGCACCTAGTAAGTAAAATAAACTCACTGACATCCATAGTCACAAAAGCATATAATAAAACTACCTGTTTTGAAAAAAGGCTCCGTATCTGCATCGTTCGGTCCCTCCTCAGCCGCCTCGGCAGAATTCATCATTGCAGAATATGTTTCCACGGATGATGATTAGGATGATGGTCAGATTTTACACCTACGGATCTTTGCAATCTATGTGTGAAGAACACTAGAGCGCGTGGCCGTCTCCATTGGTGAACGCTCGTAGTAGTGAATGATGATGATGGTGATGATGATGATGCCGGAGGTTCTGCGCTCAGCGATACTTTATCCAGCGCTCCACCGGGCGCTATTGTTTAAAGCCTCCCCGCCTCTGCAAGACAACTGCTGGCTGGGGGAACCCCGATAGAGAGAGAGGGGGAGAGAGAGAGAGAGAGAGAGAGAGAGTCGTAAAAAACGCGCGTGCAATGTTAATGCAGCTTTTTTTAAATCCCTTATTCATTCGTTCCTCCTCCACCCGTAGTATATTCCTCCATTCGTTCGATGTCTCGCACAACCCAGTGGATATAAGGCAGCGCTCCACGTAACACTGACCGAACCAACCGCATTTGCCTCACACTATTAAACAATGCAGCTAATGTAACGCCTATTGTAACGTTAGATAGTTAGCCTATACAATCGTTCGCGCGAGGGTTCTTTATTGTGCAGCCTGACTGGAGAACTGGACCAATCTGTCCCCCTGATGCGCTCAAGCGCTTCCTAATAATGGGGGGTGTGTATTTTTCAAGAGGCCGGAGAACCCCTACCATCACCATACGGTCCTTTTTAAGGGATGCTTACTAATTAGAGTCAATGAATCGCTGTCTGTTCTCATTTAAACCTCTTTTATATTAAAGCTTATTTGCAGCAGTTCTTTAAATGGTTATTTTTTTGCTGAATATTAACTAATATTATTTAAATTATTATTATCAGTAGCCTACAACAGTATGTTTTTGCTTTATATATAGGTAATATTTAGCATACGAATGGATGTTTTAATTATTAAATCAATAATGATAAATATCAAATTAACTTGCATTTTAGAAAAAACGCTAGTTTATTTGTACTTTTCATGGTACTTTTAGGTAACAAACGAAAATGGTTGCAAAAAAAAAAACGAAAACTGTTCTGGAGTACATATTTGAGTGGAGCGGAGCCACAGATCTGCTCAAAGCACACATGAAAGCACAAAGCGAGCGCGTTCTGTTATCACTCTCCAGCTCGAGATCCACTCCAGGTTTTCCACTTTCCACTCTCTGCTTGCTGCTGAGAGAAACCCTTCACCAAACGCGTGTAGCCTTCGTAAAGTTCGTGTTATAACTTTTAGAAACCATAGAAATGCAAAACCGCACAACTCCAAACGCTAAAAAGCTTCCCACTTCGCAAACAAACACGCAATTAAACGTCCGAGTGATGTCGCGTTCCTGGAATGACAGTCACAATCAAATTATAATACAATTCTAAGTTATGAGTAGCTACTGTATGCTGTAGACTACTGTTTTTATTTTTAAAACGGTGTGAAAAGTAAAAATTATCATAAAATATTCATCTTTGACTTGTCAAAGTACACCTTTCCTCATAGTACCTGAAACTTTTTTTAAAGGGAAATTATACATTATAACAGGAAAATGTACCTTTTGTTAAAAAAACAAAAAATAAACTCTTAGTCTGCACATGCGCATAACCGGTAAGAAGCAAATCTCGATGGGTAGCATGAATCGTCAGAACACCTGTTCTAATCTATGGAACTGAACTAACCTGTCTACCTATGAAGAAAGAAAAAAATACTATAGTAATGATTAGTAAAGTACCTTATTGTATCGTGTTAAATATTCTCAGTATGGTCTAAGTATATTACAATATTATTTTTTGTGTGTGTGAGAATTTGCCATCAGCACGGCTACTGTCGATCACCACACCCCCTTATGAATGAGAATGTTTATTTACAAATCAAAAGTATGCTTGAACGTGGACACAATTGTGTTGTTTCTGGAAGTTAAATAGCCCTGTCGACTCTAACCAGGAAATTTAGTCCTTCCTGTGATTCAGATTTTGCACATGGGTGAATTTAACATCTGCGAAAACAAATGATTGCATACTTTTTGATTGTGTTACCACAGTATGACTTGCATACGATAACATTAAAATGATTAATCATTCTAGTGCATAACTTAAATTCAATGACTGAGAAATGTTTTCTTAGAGAGATTGAGGCTAGAAAAAGAATGGTGAAATGGCGCCCTCTTGAGGAAATGGGGTGTCATAGAGGTCTCAGCTTCTTACAAAAATACATAAGCTAGTTTTTATTCAGTATTTTGTCTGAAACAAACAGCCATTGAATTCAACAAAGCACGCAGTGTTTAGCAAGACTTTATATCTATAATGGTGCTGCTTATTTAAATTAACCTGATTGTTGATTGTTTATTCTTGTTGGTCATTGCACCAAAGGTGATCATCAAATCATCTGGAGAACATCACTGAGTGGGCAGCGCTGTGTGGATCAAAACGAACAGCTTCACATCACTTTAATGTAGATTTATTTAACCTGCTGAGAAAGCAGAATACAAATCGATATAAGTCATCAAACATTTATAAGAAAAAATTATAATTCTTGAGGTACTTTAGAGAGCGCTGATCAAGGGAAACCCCTGCACACCATTTCTGATTTTGTGAATCTCAAACCTGAACATTTCACTGCTGTGCTTTCACAGATCATATTCTAGACAGAATTTATGTTTTACATAAAATTCAATCATTTGACTGAAGTGATGATTGTCTGCAAAATGCTATTGTTGTTTATTGCTTTTGTTTTTATAAAGATGTTCATGGCTCATGTATGCTTTATACTGAATGATGATCAGCTCACCTACATGTTTGCCATTTGAGATGTTCTGTGATCTCTGACCTGTACAGTACATCTGTCTGCCAAAAGTGGACAGGGAGGTTTTACAGACTCGCAATGACATGCCACTCTTTTACCTGGATGCATAAATGAGAATTAAATCATTTGAATTATTTAAAGTTTTTTTTTAAACACAAAAAGTAAAGAAAGTGTATTTTACAGATATCAATGATACAGATAACATTATAAACAAGCTAACTATAATACGTATGTAGCCTACCTGAACCCTGACTATTTTTGTCCACATAAATCGATTTATCTCTAATTTCTTTCATCACAGGAAGGCATATAATGGCACGATGAGGTGTCTGATTTCATCAGTAGTCCTAAGTGTGTTTGGGATGAGCATTTAATGGGATAACAAGAGGAAGAGAACAGTCTGATACCTCATCTACCCATTTCCCAGGAGCCTTTAAACACCCCAGTCAAAAATCTGCTCTGGCTCAAGACTGGAAGTAATGTAGGGTATTCAGCACTCAATCTGCTCTGAGATGTGGTCAGCAGTATCAGATCAACGAAAACTGTAGACCACCACTTATTGTGACTGATTTAATTTCAGTAGAATTGATGAAAACTACTTGAGCTAATAATATTTAATATTGACAAAGAAAATAATTATACGTACGTAACGTTACATAGCCTACACACAGTACAAGGAAGCAAATTCAAAATAAAAAGTAAGATCATTCACCTAGGCAGAGGGATGGAAACTCGAGTCTGTGACTTGGACTGGAGTCGCACTTAAAGGGATAGTTCACTTTGAAATTATTTTTTGATATGTTTTATCTTACCTCAAGTGCATCCAAGATGTAGGGGTCTTTGTTTTAGCAGTAGTAGTTGATATTTTTAGGTCAAACTGTACATGTCTTTTAGTCATATAATGGAGGTCTATGGGGTTCACCTCAAAGAGCATGCACAGAGAAGTCCAAATTAAACATGATTCAATGACTCACAAATGTAAGATGGCCTAAGACACGAAACAAGCGGTTTGTGTGACAAAACGAACTGTATTTACATCGTCTTACCTCTTGTTGTAACCAAAGCCACAAAGTGCCCGCGCCCTCAGATAACTTGGACGTGGTCTTTAAAGGGATAGTTCACCCAAAATGTAAACTTCTGTCATCATTGCCTCACCCTTAAGTTGTTATAAATCTTTCTTCTGCTGAACACAAAGGAAGATATTTTTAAGAATGTTTGTTACAGTTATGAGGCACAACAAGTGACTTTTCCTTAGGCCTAAGAGTCAAACATGTTCAAATCAAATGATGACAATTTTCCTTTGGAATCAAATATTATTTTGAGGCTTGACTTGGCCTTTTTAGGGACTTTGCCTCTTATCTGACACGCGGGATTATTATTTTAGAAAACCGCGAAATATCAGTATTTATTATTCCGCCACTCCATCTCCATAGAAACACCATTTGGCGTCTGAACTGAAGTCTTAATGGGCGTTAGCCAAGTCTGAGGAAACAATTGGCTAGTGTTCATAGGACTGACATAGTCCGAGACCAATAGACGAAAGGTTTGCAAAGACTTTTATCGTAATTCACCAATCAAATCCAGGGATTAAAACGAACTGTTTTTCTATTGGACTATGGCACTCGGCTGCTTCCGTTTTGAACGCAACGATTGCGCAGTGATTGTAGAGGCAGTTTGTTTTGCTTTTCATCCATTAGCTTTTAGATCACTACAGATTGATAAGTAATAAGTTAATTTGCGCAATAAATACAAGAAGCAATGGTAAACCATTATTAGACCGATATAATCATAATAAATACATATTCGCTGCATGTACTGAAGGTGAACGGTGAATTTTGAAGGTTTTATCGAAAATAACGTTACATCACGCATGGCTAGACAGGGAGTATCAAGACCAAAGGTAGTGGTTGTAAACGATTATATGTGTTTTAATTATATATAATACTATGTAAGTTAGTATGCTGTGTTTTGTTTTAGCATTAAAGCTAATTGTCTTTTGCAGGTGGTCTCATCAGGCAGACTGACGGGATCCGGACGGGGACAAATACACAAAAAACGGTAACAAACCGGATAAAAGAAATCCTGTCCATACTGAATGAATTGTAGATGCTATTTGTTTCACACGTTTATCAAACATAAATGTTGTCTGGTTTAGTTTTGCTGGAAGATGTGTGCCTCCTCTTGAAGCAGCGTATTCTTTATATTCTACAGACTCTGAAGATCAGGTAAAGAAGCCACATACTCAAGGTTGTGTATAAAGAATCAGTATCATGATTTTTAAACTCTTCTTTCACATTGAAAATTGCTTCCAGGTGACAACAATACACAAGGGACTGGACCGATGTGCTGCTTTACTCAATGGAATACTACAAGCCGAACAAGCAGGTATGTTATTGACAAAATCAGAACTCATTTTATGTGTTTAGCAAGTAGTGATGATATGAATCATCTTCACACTACAGAATCAAAGCCCAAACAACAGGGAACAAAAACCTGCACCTTCAAATCCAAACCCAAGAATTTATCAAGAAAAATTGAGACTGACAAGAAAAAGCATGGGAAGAAGACAAACACGGCAATACATGTGAAGAAAAGGGCAGGTAATGTACTGTACTCTAAAATAGTGCACATCATTTTTTCATCTTAGACATACTTGTGGAATATCTGTTTTTTTTTATGGAAGCTGGTTTCCACCATGGAATAAAAAAGGTAAATGCCACTTTTAATCTCACAAGTCTGAGAAAAAGAGAAACCTGAGACAAAAAAAAAACCTTACAATTCTGACTGTATTTCTCCCAATTCTGACTTTAAATCTAAACTCACAATTGCAAGGCAAAAGTCAGAATTGCGAGTTTACAGTATATGAAAAGTTACAAATATTTTTTTTCCTTAACAAACTTCCATTGTTTTTGAAATGACATCCTTGTCAATCTTTGTTTCATTTTCCTCATTTGTTGTAAAATCCTTATTGGATATTCTTTGATTCTTTTTAACGACCGTTTGCAGAAGCACAAAATATGGCTACACAGCATATTGTATTTTTCCTACTGTAGCGGCAGTGCAGAAGACGATTTTGTCCTCCAGTTGTCACCCGAGTTCAGCAGGGCAGCCGAGTTGTCATGGTGATCAGAACCCTGTGGTCAGACGGGCACAAGGGTCACAGGATCAACCGTCAGCACTGACCCGTTTAACTCAAACAGAACATGCCCAGCAAGACTCACTTCCACTGGTCTACTCTCAGCCTGCTGCTAGCTGTGATCCGCAGACTTCTGGTAAACAGGCACGCTCACTAACACATAAAGCAACTGTTATTTGAAAATATATCAATTAGTGTGTCAAAAAGTATTTAATTCTGTGGGTTCTGTAAATGGCCTGCTCAAATGATGAACGTTAATAAGAATGCCTTGCTGGAATCACTGTAACTATTCTTCCTGCACTGATATCCAGGGCTTGACATTAACTTTTTTACTTACTAGCTGCTGTGGCTAGTGGTTTTCCGAAGTTCTAGCCACTCAGCATTTTCACTGGCCACAATTTAACATTGAGACCATGGGGAACAACTGCCATAATGATTTTTTTTTTAAATATTATTATCTGTGGTATAATAATAATAATATTATAGTGGCTTTATGTACGCCAAGTTTGGGTGTGAGCACAAAATAAAGTAAAATCCGCTCAATCCCACGTCGAAATTCAAGCCCTGGCTGTAATATTGTTAGATATTACGGGTCAGTCATCCGGAGCAAATTAAACGAGTGAGTGAGGGGAGGCTATTGAAGAGATGGGAGAGTGGGAAAGGATCAGAAATCATGCATTCTATACTGGGGAAAATGAGTATTGGAGTATTTCAGATATTTCAATATGTATCGATGAATCAATATTTTTGACGTCACTACGTTGCACTTGGTTTATTATTGAGGATTCATTTTTAAAAGACTTGAAAAATGTATGTATTATATATAAAATTCAACCCGCCAAAGTGGCTACTAGTAGTGACTGCGTTACACATCACTGCTGAAATCCACCCACAAATGCTCATATCATATCCAAATGGTTTCTCGCTCTGTTTGCAGGTCAGGTTCACACATCCACTGTATTTAACTGTCGGCTGACTACGTCCACTCCTGCATTGAGCCCTCAGAGACCTGGATCAGCTCACAGTGAACCTGTAAATTTACTGCACTACTTTGTAAACTAAAATAGAACAGTGAGGGTTATCAATTGCATAAAATGCATGATATGGTGATTTATCAAATTATCAAAATTATTTGTCAAAATTATTATCAAATTATTTGCTATATTTATCAGTTATTGATGATAAAATCAACTAAATTAAGAAGATAATTCATACATTTCTTGAAACTTAAACGATGTGCTAATTTGGTGCTGATCTTGCCAATGTTGAAAACATGTCGCATATTTTTGCAACCGTGTTATATTTTTTCAGGATTCTCTGATGAATAGAAATTTGAAAAGAACAGCATTTACTTGAAATAGTTTTTTTTTTTTTTTGTAATAATGTGTGATAGTCTTTACTTACATTTTGTGTCAATTAAATGCATACTTGCTGGATTCAATTATTAATTGACCTCAAACTTTTGAATGGTTTTGATGACTTTCTTTGAAATGCTGTGATGATTCTTATTATTAATATACACACTGGATGTGTTAAATTACTAAAAATTGATGGCTTTTTCCTTTCTCTCTCTCTGTCTTCCTGTCTATTTTCTGGTTAGAGATAAGTAGGGAAACGGATCTATTGAGTAAAAGTGTCGTTCACCTTGCTTTCGTATTTCTCTGTTGTTTTTAGTGTACTTCAAAGTGTGTACTGAGCAGTGGTGGCTCATCTGGGGAGTTTCATCAGTCGAGGGCCATGAGTGCTGCCATCCCCTCCAGCCCTTATGCTTCTGAAGAAACATCTGCCACTCCAAATCAGTATGCGGCTTCTTTCTCAATGCCACCTGCAGTCCAACGACAGTCTCCATTTACTGTATCTCCTGTCCAAAATGGATCCTGCACGTCATTAGGGCACAGCCCTGTCTGCAGTGGTCCTCAGGTTAAATTGACATCATCCACTGGGTCCTTGACGCCCAACCAGCTGTGGGTCAGCCAGACTCAGCCTGAACCAAATGGACCAGTACAGGAGATCTGCTCTGAGGAGAGTGCAGAGGATGAAGATGAAAAAGATGGGATGGACAATACACCTGTCAGAGATATCAGCTGTCAGACCAGCTGTGAGAAATTAACAGTTCTGAATCACAAAGTCAAACCCACGAGTCCAGAGAAAACCGCACAGAGAGTGGTGACTGTTAAATATCTGCTGGGAGAGCTGAAGACTTTAGTTGCTAATCAGGGTGAGAATATTTGATTTATTTTCAGATGTATTAAAGGAGTAGTTCACTTTCACCCTTATTCATCGTCTGAAATTGTTTAAAGCCCTTTGAACAATTTGCAGTTTGCACTGAAACTGTCTTTTGGACCTTGAACCGTTTGGTTCCTATTGAAGTCCATTATACGGAGTAAAATCCTGAAATGTTTTCATCAAAAACCTTAATAGTGGAGGTGCTCTGGGTTCTCCACACGGCGACAAGACACCAGTCCTACATTGATTCAAACGATGTTTCCTTCAGGTGCGGGAAAGATAAAACGGCCTACATTTCGCGCTTTGGAATTGGGGATTTTATAAAAACAGAAATGGAACAAATTTCCAAAATCACGTGACCGTTATACAAATTTTCGCCGAATGTTCAGTTTGAATAAATTAAATTACTTTGCGAATAATTGAGACTCGTTACGCGTATCCTTTTTACGTTTTTTTTCTTTTGTCGTGATATAGGTCTTAAATTTCATTCATAATGGTCTTATAAAGGTCTTTATAAGGTTTTAATTAAAGATTACGAGGGCACATGAATTAAAAAAGAAATATTACAATGTGCACGAATAAATCATTTATAATAAATGCTGTAATATTCCACAAAAAATAAGGATTGTCGATTTTGGTTTCATGGTGACTTTAAAGTGGTATTTCACCAGAAACAGTGAAACATTTGACAACATAATCTTTTTTTTTCTCTCTTGTTCTTTGTCATGGCCTTAGGCTGTCTTCCAATCATCTGGAAGTCATCGTTTATAAAAGTTGATATCCTGTTCCAAACTTGAGCTGGGTTATCTAATTCATTTTCTTTAACAATCAAAAAAGGGACCTTTAGATGCCAAGACACCCAATGATTCAGTTGCTGGATTTGCAGATTCTCAAAACTTGGCATTTAAGCAGATTTTAACACCCCCCTGTGTGTTATTTTCATGTTTTATTACATGTTTTCTCTTCTGTGCAGACAGCGATGCTATGCGCCTGATCTCTGAGGTGGAGCAGAGTATCTCACTACTTCCTGTCATGGTGGGCAGCACCAACATTCAGGCTGAGATTGCGCTTGCTATACAGCCACTCAGGAGTGAGAATGTACAGCTTCGAAGGTCAGAGAGTGTCTAGAATCCTAAATATATATATATAATATATAGAATAAAACATAGAATATAGACATAATAGAATAAAACACAATTACAGACATGCATGTCAGTGTTTTGTAAGGATCTGTGCGAATTTGTATTTACAACATGACGCCTTCTCCAGTTATTTGAATGGTTTATCAGTTGAAGACAGGTTGTCATACACTAAGCTAACCTTTAGCAATTGGATACGTTGTCCTGATCCATACTCACGATCATATTTGGGTCAAGAAACCAACTAAATGCCCAAAATCACAGTGGCCGGACATCTACGTATACTTTGTGGAAGAACCCAGCGTCTAAAATCTCAAGGCGTACAAATCTCTTTACGCATATAATTTTCCACTTTGGTCATGTCGAATGTATAATGGACTGCCTAGTCAACGGGAATAACACAAAACACAGCTGTACAAGACTATTATAAACGAGTCAAACAACAATATACTAATGACGAACTCCACTTGCATGCCTGGATCAGTATTAGAGCCCGACCGATAAAGGCTGATAACGATACAAATTTTGGGGGGTTTTAAAATCCGATATTCCGATATATCGGTCGATATTTTTTTTTTTTTTATTAAATATTGTTGGATTTCACACACGTGTAAAAGGAAAGCTAACTTTTCTGCACAAGATACGTTTGATACTTTTTTTCTATGTCTAAATGTTTACTCCTCGCAAGTATAACTTACATTTTACAATGCAGGGACTGTAACTAGAGATATGCTAGTTATAAATATGGTAATCATTACTTTATTTAGGCAGAAAAAGTTCATTGTGGTTTCCAGGCTCATTAATGTTAACGTTAGCGGTCTTCCACTGATGATATTGGCATTAGCTAGCTTTGTGGTTAGCTAGTCTGTGATGAGCCCTAATTTAGCAATAGATAACATCATACTGCAAATTGTAAAACATACATTTTCAATATAAAAGGCCAAGGAGAGATGATTGAAGCGTGTTTCGTCCATTTTTATTTTATTTTTGAAATATTCATTTATCGGCCATTATAACTGCCGATACCGATATTATGGAAAATGCCTAATGCCTAAAAATGCCTGACCGATATATCGATCTGGCTCTAATCAGTATAGTAGGCTACAACTGTTTTTCACAATAAAACACTAGAACTACTTCTATCTAGTCTATGTAAAATGTTAAAGGTTTAAATTAAGTTTATTTCATGCTGTAACTCTAGACGAATACATTATTCCCTCTATGAACTGTATTTGTGATTATGTTGATCTATTGTTTACATCAAATGTATGCTTTATTCATCAGTCCAGTCTGTCTAAAAATGTGTGTTAGCTTTAAAGGGCATCTTTGACAATTGTATTGTATGAAAATGAAGACCATTTTAAAGGCACTAGACATTTTTTCCATTATTCTGTGGATTTCACCCATTTTTCTCCATTTGTTGGCACTGTTTTTCTGCCACCATAATGCGAACACAACTGCAGTGACGTAATTGTGAGGTTTACTACCAAATGAGATTGCATACAAAAGGTGGCTTTAGAAGTCAATGTTTTATTTGCATGGCATTGGACATGTGTTAATTTTCTATCATGTTATTTGCTTCATAATTTATCACACTTAAATTGACAACCCTAATTTGTATTTATTTGTATGTCTCCCAGGCGTTTGCGAATACTCAATCAGCAGTTATCAGAGCGTGAGAGAGCAGAGCGGCGAGCCAGACCGGAGGCGTGTGACATGGAGGGTGAGTGGAGCCATGCTGTCGTCTCTCATCATATAGAAGAATAAATGTGCAAATATGTAAATATTTTTTTTTTTAAATTGAGCCTTTTATTTTCTGTCCAGCTAAGTGGCATGGCCTTTGTGTTCATTGGCATGGTTGTGTTACAGTGGTTACGTTGCAGTCTCTTAACTTCGCTCTTCAAACTCAGTTAAATGAGAGCCGTAAAGAGCTTGATGATCTACGACAGGAGAACATGAGACTTCAGAAAGCCAAGGAGGACAAAGAGTCGTGCGAGTTTGAGAACAGTCGGCTAAGGCTGGGTAAGAGTATTCTCGTACACTGTCGTATGTTTGCATTTGCAAAGGAAATTCATCTTATATTATCTATTATATTTTAATAAATGTTATCCTTCTGTTTTGTTTTATATTATCCTACAATCCTTTCTGAAAAATCTTAAAATTGACATGGTAACACTACAGCAAGGTTTCAATTGTTAACATTAGTTAACTACATTAGTTAACATGAACTAACTATAAACAATACTTGTACAGCATTTATTATTCTTAATGGTAATTTCATTTTTTAAGATCAAATGTTGTAACTGTAAGCATTAGTTAACTCTTTCCCTACCAGCATTTTAAAAAAAGTTGCCAGTCAGCGTTTTTGATCATTTTCTCAATTTCATGTCCCCCATAATATTTTTTGTATCAATATCTGAACATGCAATATATCAAAAGAAAGAACAGACTAGCTTCTTTTTTATTCTAGCTTCTTTTTTTTTATCAACGCTTGAATGTGGGTAAGTTTCATTATAAAAAGCAATATTTTGAGGAAAAAGCTGGAAAAAAAATTATGTTTTTGTCAAAGACTGTGTCTGGATGGGATTCAGAACGATGATCAAACCACAGAGATCGAGTCCATCAACACCCCTAAAGCTACACAGTCCTACAGCTCGTCCTGGGTCACTATTTCATTCAGTAACATTAGGCAGTTTTGATTTATATGCTGTTGAATGTTGATGATTGTGTTATTTTACATATGCATATGATTACATATTAATTTTGATCAGGAGATTCTGTAATCTTTCAGAAGATGCGTTATAGAGCCCCTTACTGTATAACAGGGAAAACATAGAAAGCCAATGTCGGCCGGGGAAAGAGTTAATGCACTGTGAACTAACATGAACATTTTTATTAATTAACATTAAAAAAAGTTAATAAATGCTGTAAAAACATATTGCTCGTTGTTTGGTTAAGGTAATGCACTAATTTTAATGGAATTATCTGTTAACTAATAAAAGTGAAAAAAAAAATCCATACTTGGAATTTGTCCTCTGCATTTAAGCCATCCAAGGTAGTGCACACACATTAGGAGCAGTGAGTAGTGAACACAAACAAGGGCACCTCAGTTGTGGGTTTTGAGGGTGGAAGAGCTATTCATTCACTCCCCACCTACATTTTCCTGCCGGTATTAAGAATTTAATCCGACAAATAATTAGGCCGTGACTACCCAACATTTACAAATATTAATGTCATGCTATTTTACTCACACAGAGATGAATGAAGCATTAGCTGAAATGCAGAGCTGCCAGAGTAAACTCAAAGAGTATGAGATTGAGAAGACTGTACTGTCTCTGAGTCTCCAGCAGAGAGAGGCAGAGATCAGCAGGCTGCAGGACGTCATCAGGTAATTGATAAGTGGGTCTTCATTCATTTTATATAAATTAAAAAAATATGTAGTACAGTATATTTGACTTAATAATGTAAATTTAAACTGCCATAACTTTTGGATTTCTTTTTCAATAATCTGCTGAGTGTTTCCTTTAAAAGAAGACAAAACTTGGGTATATATTCCAAAGCATTGTTGAATTGCAGCCATTTAAGTTTGAATAGTGCATTTTAACCCCCATTCTCAAAAAGGGGGTTGACAGCGAAAGGGCTAAGCCAAGTAAGATGTGCCATTATGAACAGGTTGTATGACATCTAATCTTTTTTACAAGCCATTTTGATACCATAATGTTGCATCTTGATGTCACTCATGAATCACTTATCTAAACTATAATGAAATGACATCTTCAAAATGAAATCTTGAGAATCTAGCATGTAACCGAACATGTAGATGAGATGCTGGTCATTGTAACCTGTTTTTTCATTCGCACAGAAATCTGGAGAGAAGTCAAACAAAAGACAAATATTCTCCTCAGCCGGACGTGTGCCAACCAAACTCTCAGCTTACCAAGAGTGTTTTGGAATTGCATGAAAGTGCACAGAGAGAGTCCACTGTGTCAGATCAACTTTCAAACTCTGTGAAGAGCTACCTTCAGACCCTGGAGGAGATCGGACAGGGCTCTCCTCTCCAACGAGTTCACTGTAAGTCCCAGACATTACAACCAGCCTCCCCTGGTCAGATTAATGGCGGAAAAGACAACTTTATGCCATCAGATTCCAAAGTCTACTTACCAACGAATAGGGATATACACAAACCAACCCTGGAAACCATATCTGAGAAGAGTCCTCAGTCAGAAGAGCAGAAAAGAACAGTGTTTGCTCCTTTAAAAGAGACTCTGGTGCAACTTCCCTCAGGAGCTGCTCATGGTAAACCGCTAACTCAGTGTAATGAACTGATAACAGCCAAGAACCAAAGGGAAGATGTGGATGCGCATGTAGGGCTGAAACATATGGGGCGTGCTTTTGAAAAGCTGGACATCTCTGATGGGGTCAACATTCAGGATGCGAAGAATGATGGCAGAGATTTCCTTTCAGATCATCAGGGTGTGGCCTTACAGTTAATTCAGAAAATGAAGGGCCTGAACAATCAATCGGTGCAATCTCTGCGTGCCCGCAGAGATTACTTTGGACGCCCTTCAGTGATTGAGAACACCTTTTCCTCTTGTGATATTAAATCTTTAGCCTCTGATTGGAGCATAAACTCCTGGTCCACGTTTAACACACAGGATGAACTGAATTTTAGGGATGGGCTTGCAGCACTAGACGCCAGCATTGAAAGTCTGCAGAACACCCTGAGAGTTGATCGAAACAAATAATATAGTATTTCAATGTGTGCTGAGTTTGTTGTTTTTAATTTGATTACATGTAATTAATGGATATTTTTACATGTCTCTTTATTTTTATTAAATTATCATGTGAAAAATCAGTGAATATTACATTTCTTGTTGTATTTTTTTCTTTGATATACATTAAGAATGGATACACTGAGACAAAACAATTAGCTAAGTAGATACTGTGTGTAAAAACTGAAACCTTTAAGGCCATCCTTCAAGCGAATCCCTTTGAAGACAGCGCCAAATCCTCCCTCACCAAGCTTACTGCCGATTTCATAGTGACTCATCGATGCGATAGCGATCACCATGTCTTTCTTTCTTCAGTCAAAAAGAAATTAAAGTTTTTGATAAAAATATTCCAGGATTTTCTCCATATAATGCACTTCATTGGGAACCAAATGGTTCAAGTTCCAAATGAGAGTTTCAGTACAGCTTCAAAGGCCTTTAAACGACACCAGACGACGAATAAGGGTCTTATCTAGTTATATAGTTGTAGTTTGTAATATTATATTCTAAATATGTAACATATTTATATTGTGTTTAAAGGCATAGCCTATGTAGTCTTATACTTGTAGTCAAAAACACTCTTGTAGTAGAGCATTTCTACATCTTTCCACTTTTTTTTTATAGCAGGGGGGTAGCAGGGGATTCAAAAATAATATCAAAATACTATAAACATGTTGTCACACACGTCTATGAAGTAATAAAACAACACTCACCGCTGAAGGCTTGATTCAAGCTTTTAATTAAAAAACATGCTTGTTCTGAAATTGACTAATGCAAGCAATGGTAGCAACATACATAACTGAAGGGATATCTGTTGATTATACAGATTGGAATATATTTATTATATAAGATATATAGCCTACCTTATTTCAAAATAAACTATTGTTTTGTTATTGCTTATATCTTCGTACAATATTTAATTTGATTTTCAAAGCGTGTATGTGGAAAAATAACAAAAACCTTTTTTTCTGTATGAGTTTTTTTTTTTTCTTCAATTAAAATCATTAGTCTTACTATTCCACCTGTTCATTTGGGAAGCACCTTTGGTTCATTTAACATACGTCAAATTAATTTTCTATAATTAGGCCACGCTCGACTCAGCCAGTTGGCGGCGCTGTTGTCCAGGAAAAGACGACAGACATTAAGAAAGATTTGTTTCCCGATAAGTTGGCCAAAATACGCAATTCATGGACAATAAGATTGAAATAGAAATGTTCAGAAATCTGGACACATTTTGAACGGTAGATGCGCCGTTTGTTTTGTGGGAGACGGACGGTCGCATGGAGATGACGTAAGGTCACCGTAGAAACCAAACAGGCGCTTGTCCGTCCTTCCGCTTTTCCTGTCCAGAAAATCATGCAAGTTACATCTTCATTCGACATGCGCTTTTATCGTCCTTATATTTGAAATCTGAAACGTTTTTGCGAGCCAATGATGACCACAATGGTTCTATCAGTAGACGAAATAAGCCCAGAACTAAAGAGTCTGGTCGCAAACACCAGAGAAAAATCAGAAAACAAGTTTAACGACGTGCTTTCATCATTAAAAGGTAGAGTCCTCTTTAAAGGTGTCAAATATAACCTGTCATAATGAGCTCGTTATACGGCATGTTTAATAATTCTACTCTAATGATAAATATGTTGTTTAAAGTAGTTTTAGTACATATGTTAAGTTACATGTCAGGTATCCCTAGAACACAAGCATGTATCTCCTATATGAATGAGCTTAATAACAGGTTTCACACGAACAGATCTTCTAGACAGAAAGTCTTCAGGAGATCAGAGGGATCTGGAAGTGTGTAAACAGAGGCTTTACTCGTATGGTGTGCTGCAGTACTGCTCATCTTCACTGACATTCAGTCCAGTCAAGATTCAAGGGGGCTATGCAGTCCTCACACAGATGGCAGACCTCCTCAGGTACTCAAATTCAAGACGATTTTTCTAAATACACAGTGAATACTGCTTTCATTCGCAGCCTCACAGAGTTTCAATGTGTGTTTCCATCCGTCCAGCACATGCTGTGTGGGTCTGGGTGATTTCAGACACATCGAGGCATTCAGTCAGGAATTTCTGCCATCGGTGGTGGAAAGTCTTCTTTTTCTTGCAGACCGTCTAATGAACAGAGCTTTGCAGGTAAGATATTACAGTTTCCTGAATCAGATAAAACTGGGGTCCAGGGACTTCCAGAGGCCACAAGGAAGTGCTATGGGGTCTGTGCAAATTTTTCAAGAAAAAAAGTGTGAACATGTAATATATATGTATAAAATAAACAGAATATATTAAAAATAATAATTTGTTACATTTATATAGCGCATTTCTGGATACTCAAAGCTATTAACATCACCCCCACCACCAGTGAAAATAGAATAAAATACATGTTTGATATAAATAAAATAAAAATACATTAAAATAATGATATTATAATTATATTAATAAATGAATATATATATATATATATATATATATATATTTTTTTTTTTTTTTTAAGTATTACATGACATAATATCCTTTTACAGTATAATATTAAGCCTTTATTGCCTTTTAAATTTTAGGATGGTAGATCATATATGGGTATCTGTGGCATCTAAAAGATTGAAAACATCTGAAGTAGAGAACCAAGTAACAGGGTTGGGTTATTTCATATACAGTCAGCTGGTTAATAATGCTACATATTAAAAAAAAATATACCCTTTCTAAGTAGTTCTATCACATCTGGCTTTATTTGAATTGGTAGAGACTGCATATATAGCAACCAGATCATTTAATGTCTCTTTGCAACAGGACAAGGCACATAATGAGCTGATTCGTCTGTTTAGAAGAGTCTTTGATTCCATTGGCTGGCTCCTCAGGGCTCACGGACATCTCATTCATCATGGTAAACAACTACTATAAATTTAGTGGCGTGTGACCATCGCAAGATGTTTAGAGATGATGAACTGAATGAAACTGTTGTTTTCCCATTGCAGTATTGAGATCTAAACATTATGAAAGTGTCCAGATCTGTGAAGACGAGGACGTCTCCATTGTTACTGTCACCATGTGGAACAATATCTTCAGGGCAAACGGGTACAACAGAAAGCAACTTTGTTCATGATACAGTCTTTATCCACTAGACTGCTCATACTTTGGAACATCTTTTTCCTTGTTTTTCTGAAGTGCTGTAGTGGCTGAGATGGGAAACCGGGCTCTGACTGACATCATGGATGATATTGTGTATAAAATGTCCAGTAGCTCGAATCCTGTAATTGGCAGAGCAGCTGTAAAGACCCTTGTTCTGATTATGGACCACAGCAGCTCAGCGCATCAGCTCATTCACAGACGATACAGAGGTAAATCGACTCAGATCTCAGAACGTTTTCGAGCTTTAAGGCCTGTTCAGTCCACACTGCAACTAGAGTGCAACAGTTGGGTTTCATAAGTACAGAGTCCTGTAGTTTTTTTTCAACACTGTTAAAGGGATAGTTCTCTTTGAAATACATTTTTGGTATATTTTAGCTTACCTCAAGGCCATCAATGTGTTCTTACATTTACGAGTCATTAAATCATGTTTAATTTGGACTTCTCTGTGCATGCTCTTTGAGGTGGTGACCATAGACCTCCATTATATGACTGATAGACAAGAACGTTTTGACCAAAAAATACAAAAATTGAAACTACTGCGGAAACAAAGACACCAACATCTTAAATGCCCTTGAGGTATGCTAAAACATATCAAAAAATAATTTCAATGGGCAGGAACTGTTGCACTCTAATAGGGCACAGAGGTTATAATATCATTGGAATCACTTTAAGAGCTATTTTTTTCTAGCTGATTATTAATAAAAACACTGAGAGCCAATTAGAATCCATCCTGCTAGAAAGTGCTTGAGCATTTAAAGCAGCTGACGACAGAACTGCAGCACATGCTTATAATGAACAGGACGTTATCATGCGTCGGTTTAGACAGTGATGTAGTTATTGGTCTTGAGTCTTTAGTCTCTAAATGTGTTTTTCCATTGGTTGGTCCTGCAGGTTTGGCTAATTTAGCTGTAAAAGACTGGCGTGGTAAAGGCTTTGACTCTGCTCTGGATCAGCTTATTGATCACCTGCGGTCAGACGTCTCATGGAGAGACACTAAGGTCAGCAGCCACCAGCGTAAAGCATCTAATAAATCCCTTAATGGAGACAACTTTTACATTTGGCAGCATTTCATTTTCCCCCCCTAGAAGTCCACCTATAATGATAGTCAACGTGAAAACAAAATTAATAATTCATTTTTTGTTCTCTGATGGTGTTAACTGGCGCAGGGGCGGGACAACCTGTCACTCACATGACATCACAGCATAATACAATGATCCAATCAATTCCCAGTGGACAAAATCAAGTCCCGCCCTACTTGTTCAGAAGCTGCTTCACTCATTTATATGTCACAATAGAGACGAAAAGCCTATCGCAACTTCTGTTTCATGCCTACTTTAAGGTGTCTTGCATCAAAACTCACAATATAGTTTCACGTGGTCATTTTATGCAGCCTCTCTGACCCCTTTGAATTAAACTGGGTGGTTTTTTTTTCTACGTTACCTTTAATACTTCTATCATTGATCTCTGTTTTAAATTGTCTAACCTCTTTGCTGTAGAAATGACAACAACGATCGATACCATGAATTTTGCATCATAGTTAATGATGAACTAGAGAGCAAGTTTTCTTATATTCTGATTCATTATGTAATTCTTCACTCTGCATTATATTAAGGAGTCATCTGAGGAGTGTGTAAGAGCAGCTTGTATTATCCAGGCAGCCTGGAAAGCCCATCAGACCAGAAAAAGACTGAGGAAACTGCCCAGAGCAGTCAGCACATTACAGCGCAGCTTCAGGTAAGATGAACACAACAGCTATGCAATAAAGAAAAGGCAGAGCTATTTGCACTAAGCTAATGCCACATGACTTGGGGACAGAGATACTAACAGCTTGCGCCCGCGCAAACCCTCTTTTGGTGTTAAAGAACTACAGTCAGGATTTACTAAAGACATGCAGTGAAAAATGAACGCTATTTTTGCGCTGACCTTATTGCATTTGTAGGAGTTTCCCTTTCAGATGCAAAATTTATGGGAG